ATGATAACCATCAAGACGCCTGCCATTTGATATAATAATAGTAATAACTTTCAGAAATGCTAGAAATGTCAGGTATTGTTAACCATAGCTATGTTTATGTCAGCGTCTCCTAATTCAGGAGGTAAGTTTCTGAAGACGATTTTTTAACTGGCATTTGTGAGCTCTCGATGTAAAGTGAAGTATTTCAAAATAAGTGCAATAAAATAGTGGAAATGCAACGGAAATGATACTTCATCATTGTTAAAAAAAACGGGGAGGCAAAATTGGAAAGTGTGTGAATTTCATTCGATTGCATGTCGATATTCAATTGGAATATGCTCAAGTGCATCACTTGACGAGTATCATCATTGGTTGTGGCTCTAATTAATTGAAATAATTCTACTTATCATTAATTAAGTAAACTAAATCTGTTGTTCTCTTAGAACATACCAACTGCATTAGCTCGGCCGAGAGGTGTCTTTTGCAGCTGCTACTATTTCCATATAAATGTTTGCAACGAACATGTTGCTATTATCTAATCTTTCCGTTTTCAGCAAGGATTCAAGATAATGCCAGATGGCCAAATTGGCTTCCGTTCCTCCCTGCGTACTCGAAGGAGTACGCGTCACAATCGCCATAAAGACGATGATGGTATGGTTGACGGTGAAGGTGATCATCGCCTTCAGGACCTTAGAGAGGATGCCGAGCCAACCATGGACATTCAAATTCCTGCCATCGGTCGTCTTCAAGTTCCTATCGAGCCAACTAGTGGAGGTGCGGAATCTCGAAAGCATGAAACAGATCTACGCACACGACGGTTCTCCTCAGTGGGTACAAGGAAGATGAGCAACTTTGCACGGAAACGTTCTAGAAGTCAATCCTTAACTCCACCTCTTGAAGCTGTAAGCAGACATGAGACTGAATCGGCTAAAGAACCGCCCAAACCGAGGAAATCAAAATTCTCAACTGCTGATGTGAGCCTTTAATTATGCCTAACTTACTCAATCTAAATCAAAGCATCACTCACACTTCTCTTTACTCCGATCACAGATTAGCACAGGTCTTCAGAACATGTTTGCTCGAATGGGTTCTCAGCGCAAACGATCTCCTATTCCGAAGATCGTTGAATCGGATTCAGATGAATCCGACGAGATTGAATATATGAATTTGGGTTATTTTGGTAAGAGAAAGCAGAGCAAAGCGCCATTTGGGAAGAAAAGCCTCGGACAAGAATTCATGCCTCCTCCGGAACTAAGAGAGGACTCGCTGGTGCCTGGAGAAGACTCGGAGTTGGCGCGACTTTCTAGGAAGTTCCTGTTTGTTGGAAAAGATTATGAAAATTGGATATTTAGGGACGTTGATGAACTCAAAAGACCTGCAGAAGGTGAGTTACAGAAATATAAATGCAGTATAAACAAAGTGGATAAATGACAGGCTTAGATTAGATATCATCAACATTCTGATAATGGGTTGGTTAGTAGTCGTCTGGGAAGGCCAAGTTAGTTTATTGTTATTTGTGTGAATTAACCAAGCATGTAATAGAACAACTGCAACTTAAAATCTCGAAATCTACTTATCGATTTATTTTATGAGATTATAAATGTAGTTTCGATTCCTTTTTCAACTGATTTGGCTAAGGCTCTTTTTAGCAGATTCATTTTCTTTTCTGTTTAGCTTGTGAGCACACTATTGTGTTGAAGTGTTTGTACCTGCAGTATCAAAAAGATAAAAGTCATCTAGACAACTTTCGTAAAAGATGGGTTTATTTTTATATTTAGACAATCGCTCAAGACTTTGAAAGTTATGTTCCAACATAGCCCGAGCCCATTAGATTTTGACCACAATTGGCCAAAAAGGTTAGCCAATCGCACTACTGCATGTGCACCAATGAGTATTGGCCTCATGACCTATCTCGCAATAGAGATAAACTCACTTGTGGAAATTCCCCTCCATTGAGTACCTTAAAAATTTTGTTTAAATGAAGGAAATGTTTACGCTAACTGTGAGCAATTGAGGCCAAGCATGTCGAGTGCACGTTCATATCCTCTGTACTTTGTCATAAGAATATGGTTTGCGTTATTGAGTGAATAAAACTAATCAGAAACATCATATTTGTATTTGAAACGTGCCTTTCTCATGATACACACCTCCTGGGGGATTAAAGGTGCAAAAAATATGAATTACGCCTGATGTTTAGCCGTTTGGATTGACAAAGTGTGGCCTCAAAAGCATATAGATGAAAGCACTGTGCCCCCGCATATCACTAAACTCGAGTTGGTAGGAAATTTATTATGACTCTCGTATTTCCTTCGATCCAATCGGATTCTTTTTCATTTCACGTACCGCTGCGCAATAATTAAAACTATTTCAATAGGGAGAAATATCATAATGGTTAAAATGTGAGGTAAATTCTGAATTCATTAAACTGTTCACATATTTTCACTAAACGTATACAGTGTTTTGTATGAATTAATCAGTGATGCAAAATTCAAAAGTTCATACCTGACTTCCGGGTTTCTGATTAGCTACATGTTCACAATATTCAAAGCTGATGCATCTGACGATTTAATTGCAAAGATGATAATGCAGATCAAAACATCACCTCACTCTTCAATTTACAGATAGGCGATTCACTCTTAGTAATTTTAACAGAACGCCTAGTTCCCCCAATAGAAACTTTCATTATTAGCTAACTCACTTGTTTATACAAATAATAAAAGTTTTTCCCATTACAAATCTTCAACTACTTGGAATATATATTTGAATGTAGTCAAAAAGTTGAAATCTATTCAAATACAGAATTTCATGCCATCAGTGCTATTGTAAATAACAATTTCATTAGTTGATTGTCGTTTGAGTGATAGCACTCGAAAGCGTACCCAATTTTTTTAGGCTCCTACTAGGTTAGAAATAAACTGCAATCCACCTTGACAGTGTTGAATTACTTGACTTATGAGCAAATACAGTGGAACAAACATTATTCCACTATATGCATCTAATTGAAGGTAGAATCTTGCCTCACAGTAATCCATTTCGTAGCATTTCGTGGTAGACAATTAAAACCACGTGGGACTCAACTAGACAAGCTAGAAAAGATATTGGTATAATTAAATTTAGTCAAAGATATTAGAGTTTTTACTTAAAAAATGTCGTATTTATTAAAAATAAAGACCAACAGGTGCTGCTATATAGAAGTAAAAAAACAAATTGATCTTTACTTGTTGAATAATCAAATTGTAGTAATTAATAAATCGAAACCAGATCGTAAAGTTAAAACTATAGCCTACATTTTCCAACGAAAAATAACCATTTCAAGTTTAAAAAAAGTTTGTTCAACACAAAGGTAACAATATAAGCTTTAAGTAAGGGCAATTTACTGTGACGCGGTGATTGGCTGTGTTGTCTACCAATATACTTAGTCAATAAGTACTATAAAATTTTCACTTAATTGCATAAACCCAATAGATGATAGGTTGGGAATTCTCTGTAATCACTACAGCATTTACTGAGATATTATATCCAATTCGAGATTTCTTTGGCCCTTATTGGTAGCCTTGTATCCTCAATATTATTTTTCTTCCTCTATGAGATCACCCTTCATTATATAATTCTGGCCACTTTTTCATGGTTTCGGTTTTTAAGAGCAGTAATTAATAGCTAAGACTCTGCTGTAGTGTTTAGTCAAGCCAATTGAACTGTAATACGTGAAAGTTGTTTAAATCCCTGGGAAGAGAAGATATGTACTATGGGTGAACCAGTTCATGGGCTTCGTGTTCAATATGATTTAACGCAATTGGTCAAAGAAATGGACCAATTGGTGAATGGCCGTGCCGTGACTTAACATGGGTTTAACTTGAAAGCAATACGAAAGTGGCATTGTGATATTGCATAACTTGAAAAGCATAATTTCGTCCCACTATCGGGCCCAGGGTTTGAACGAATACCCATTTATCAACTGCTATTAAGCACTATTGTGCCTTTCACTAGCTAACTTGAGCATCTTTAACTCAGGCTTCAATTGCCAATTAGTGACTTATCTATGTCTTGTTGGTGTAATAAAATTAAGTTAATTACAGAGAAAATACCCTTGACAATGCTAGAGGTGTTAATTGGGAATCAACGGATTGTTATTCCATGCGTCTAGTAATGACTAATCTCAAAGAGGGTAGGTAGATTGTCGAACTCAGGCAACCCTTTTAAAGAAGACATCTGCAAAAACGCTTGCAAACCAACTCGATATCACTATCAAACAATTGTTTTATTCAATTGTTTTATTGAATTCGTGCCCATTTTTCCTTTTGAATCGATTCAACTCTCTTCACGTTATATTAGGTAACATAATCTTGGCAGATATCAAAAAGCGTGGTTTGAAAATTACGGTTTCATAGTCAATCCGTATCTACTTATCAATAGGGAGAATCATTTTAATACCCCTCCCCCCCCCCCCCCTCCCAGGATTCCGCCAATATACTGCAAAATATCATTCAGTAACTTAGCTACTAATTAACTAACAAAAGTGGAATAAAATTTAATTGGGAGACGTTGACTTTCAACATGAACCTGACATTGCCTAATTGTTGAGTAAATATTGACTTATAGTGCAAAAAGCTGCCGCAATTTATGATTACGGATGCGTGTCATGCAAGTGTCATGCAAGTCATCATCATGCAAATTCATGATGAATTGCCTTTAATTAGGGCCAAAGTTCAGTGCATGAGAGTAGAGAATCATAAGCAGTATTTAATTTCAACTTGGTTGTAGACACGGGGAGGGTTGAACATGGCAAATTCCAGATTATCATGGAAACCGCGAGAAGCATGATCTAAATAGATCTTTATTAAGACTCTAAATAAATTAAGAAGTAATTATGAAAGCGCATAAAGTCTACCAATAATAAATGAAAGATAACGATTGTGGCCTATAAGCCAAGGTAGAAATGGTGATTGGAAGCGGCCATCTTACCCTGAATTCAATTATCTCAATTAGAGCATGAAGCTTTTAGTGTACCTACTGACCTAACCAATGGCCAAATTGACCTTCCACGAATTGGTTTCCCTACTGGGTCCACTCTCTGCGAAGGTGTGCGTATTTCCACCTTCTGCCGTATTTTGAGGCTTTTTGAACTGCAAAATTGCAACGCATTCAAGCTTTTCTTATGTTAAAATAAATCATGAAATCCTTCCCATTCAATACCTACTTAATATTCAATGTCATTTATTGGAACATCTGAGCAAAATTTCTTAGTACGCAATCTTTTATCTATTTATATCAAAAGCAGGCTTTATGATAGTTGGCATTAGCCCTTTAGCTGATTTTGAGCTTCACATATTAAAGGAACATTAAAGTCACAACAAGTCAAGAGGAGGAACAGAAGTGTGTTTCACAGCTGTAAGAGGGTCGGACACAAAGGTAGAGAAAAGAGATAAGATGAGGTGAGTACTATGGAAGTGGTGCAATATGCCATACAGTGGGGTCATGGAAGTTTGAAGTGAGATGTCAACTGCCGGTTTATAGACGTTTTTGCATATGAGAATACGCTGCTCAGGGTTTACCACGTGGAGGTAAGTCTAGCGCTCACCTCATTGCTAAAAGGTTGACAAGATGAAAACATCAATACCTTAGTAGTTGGTGTATTATGCAACCATAAAAGAGGCTATCTAGACATCTATTTTTCCTAATATTCTTCGGTAATGAAATTCACATAGATATTAAACCTGACTGAGAAGACCGTCTGTTTTGCTTACGTTGCAAAAAAAGTAAAATCTTTACATCTATTAAATGTCCAATATCGCATAAAATGCATTTTAATGTTAATTTTTTAACTTTGTCAATACATAATTCCTGCCTAAACCCTTATTTATGTATATCCTCAGTGTTTCCATTTCTTAAGTAATTATTTATCAATGAAATATGTATTGAATAAATTCTCATCGCTCTCTTCGTCGTTTTCTCTTTCGGAGATAAATTTTCTGCTCTCACGCATATGGGTTGGGTTCACTATCTCACATGACACCAGGTAAACTGACGATGGCCCGTTTCTGAAAAGCCTTAGTTTGGTCACTTCCAGTAAACACACACTTAAATCATTGTCTTATTTCTGAATTTGAGGTTGTGGGAGTCGAAACTACCGTCAATTGCATATTGAGTCAAATTATTGTCTCTGACTATAGCACGAAACACTTTGTGCTAACATGAAGTTTCAATTTAGAAAGTTAAATTGCTGCTTAAATTGATCATAAATCTGCTAGCGTTATTTTCTCAGCATCTGGTGGTATTAGTTCTAACCAACCTTCACCTCTCATATTTCAGATCGAATTAATAGAAATGAAGTTCCTCGAATGCCTTGGCACGATGTTGGTTGCGTTGTCACCGGATCAATAGTCTCCGATTTCTCTCGTCACTTTATCCAACGATGGAATGCCACACGTGTAGGTTCACAACCCTCTCCTATTTGATATAGGGATTTCAAAATTAATGTTGATTTGTGGTAACGAGTAGTCTTATCACCCCAAAACCGTCTAATAATCAGGGATAAATAAACACCAATAATTTTAGATGATATAACTTTGTTTTAACTAACTTTACTATTGTCCCTAATTGGAAATTCAAACCAAACTTGTCAATTCAAACAAAAAAAAACAACTTTGAGGAGGCAATATAACTGGAAAGATAATTTGCAAATTAGTTTTAAATTTTGGCATTTATGGAACCAACATCTGGCCTAAAACAGCAGAAGACTACTTGGTTAATTTTATCTAATGGTAATAGATATGCTTCCTGCAGCACATTAGAATTTAATCCACATAAAATTTCCTATCTCAGTTAAAGAAAAATTTTGGAGAAAGCATTTCTCGTTACCCTTTTTCAAAAGTACAGAGTGATCAGTAGCATTTAAACATTAGAAATGTTTTTTTTCAAATGGCAGGCATTTCCATAGTTATCATTAGCCCCTTAGCTGACTTCGGGCTTCACAGAAAGGAAGAGGAACATTAAAGTGAGAAAAATTCGACAGGGGAAAAGAAGAGCGGTTCACAGATGTAAAAGAAACAGACTGTGGAAGGGGTCGAACATGACATACAGTGGGGTCATGGTAGTTTGAAGTCAGAAGTCAACTGCCGATTAATAGACTTTTTTGCCGTATGAGTATACGTTGCCCGGGTGCACCACGTGGAGGTAAGTCTATCGCACACGCCACTTAAGAAATGTTAAGGGTCTTAATTCAAGGGAATTTTGAAAGTATTTAGTTA